CGTCAAGCCAGGTGGTAAACTCTACTGGGCGACCGTCAGGATCGAACGCGAGAACGTTGAGAGTCGCCATGCGTGCAGCGTAGGCAAGTCTTGTGCGCAGGCGGCAAGGCAAAAGGCAAGCAAGGAGAGACTGCGTGCAAGGCTGCAGTGGTGGCGCACAGACTGCAGTGGCGGTGCACGGACTCCTAAGGCAGCACAGAGGGCAGCAGTGGGCCGCGCGTGGGCCTCTAAAGCGGCGCGCGGTGCAGCAGCGGGCCGCACGCAGGCTCCTAAGGCGGCGCACGGTGCAGCAGTAGGCCACGCGCTGGCTCCTAAAGGCGGCGCGCAGAGCAGGTGCGGGCTGCGCGACCTGAGGAGGCGACGCACGGGGCAGCAGCGGGCTGCACAGGCGGTTGACGCGGCGCGCGGGCCGGCGGCAGGCTGCGCGGGCGGCTGACACGACGCGCGGGGCCGAAAGCGGGCTGCGTGGGGCCGAAAGCGGCTACGCGGGCAGCGGACGCGGCGCGCAGGGCCTAAGCGGGCTGCGCGTGGGCGGCTTACGCGGCGCGCGGGCCGGCGGCAGGCTGCGCGGGCGGCTGACGTGGCGCGCGGGGCCGAAAACGGGCTGCGCGCGGGCTGCTTAAGTGGCGCGCGGGGGAAAAAAAGGGGCCGCGCGCGTGCAGCCGAGGCGCGCGCGGGCAGCAGGCAAGGCAGGCAGGCAGGCAAGGCCGTAGGTGAGGTAACGTGGTAACTGGTGGGCCCTAAACTTAGGTCCTAAAGACCTATGCTCTAGATACCATCTTAGAAGCTAGGCATGAATGAATTTCACTATCGAGAGAAGTGGTACAAGGAGAAAACCCTAAGGGGTTATACCCCACAGTGTCTACCCCACTACAGCCTACCCACAAATACAACATATGCATATGTTTGACACCCAACATCCGGCAAGGAGACACGGGGCCAGAGGAGACACACCAAGGAGGTCTCCTACGGACCTACTGTTCTGAAACCATATCAAGATAGCAAGAAGGAATGATTGCATTGAATAAAATGTGGGTACAAGTACTAACCCTAACTTCGGGTTGTACCCCATGTTGGAAACAAGTAACTTAAGCGCCTCTGTCGTGTCGAAGCACTAAGTTATAAGCGGAGCGAAACACAGCGAAGCATCGGCGAGTCAACCCTCGGAGGTTGAACAACTGCTGGAGGTTACGCGAAAGTCAAAGGTCAACGACCTTTGACCTGACAAATACAGCGCGACAGCAAGGACAAACAACTGACTCGCTATTGAGCAGTTGCCCAAGTCGTCACTGTATCGAACCACGATAGCAATAGTAAAACGGTTATTAACTGTATCTCTTCGTATTCCTTGTACTCTTATAAAAGCTTGTATCTCTTTGTTTTAATCAATCTACTTTGCCCTCACATACCAGCGCAAGGTGGTTCACAGACTTCTCATTAAACGCTTCCGCTATTACATTGTCCTACGCAGAATCTAGTCCTGCAAAGATCCTAAGGGCTTTTCTCAGCCCAACACCCCTGCTAATACGGGCTACCCCACTAAAGCCTACACAGAACTAACACAAATATAGTTTGACACAATAAAGCGAGGTCTTTTGCACCTGTGATGGAGGGGAGATTCATTGGCGAAAACAAATTAGCGAAAAAGGGTGTTACCTTTTGGCGTGTTCTGCACCAGGGCTGACGATTCAAATATGGGTACCCTGTTTTCAATCCCCCAAAAAGAGATTTACCCTGAAGGCACATTTTCCGCAAAACGCCAAGCCTGAGCCTTCTTGCGATGTTCAGGGTTCACGAAATCGTAAGTCTGGGCTGTCAGGGTTGGCGAATTGAAATCAGGGTTGATTTTTTTCTTCTTTCTAGTTTGACGAGAAAAACAGTGACGTGTTTGACGCGAGAAATCTAGCTGGATTGGCGGATTGGCTGGAGGGAGTGCATGTGGCGTGGGAGGATCTCCTAGGGGCGCAGGGGCGAGAGCGAGGGGTGTGCAAAGGGGGAGGGAGCAAGTGAGGGGGGTGGGTGGGGGCTATTTCGTGACCGCGGGTCGTCCGCACAAAAGGGGGAGAAGGGGGGGAGGAAATGGGGGAACGGACTGCTCATGGGAGGGGTGTCGAGACTCGACCTGGTTTTGGTGGGGGGAGACGTTTTTCAATATTAGTGTCTCGTTTAGTTTCACAATTATTATAATTTACACATGTTTTTTTCTCAAAAGTTAACGAAAAACAGCTGATGACTATAAATTATCAGTCACATGGCGATACGGTGTTTCACTACGGATGGTTTTTTTTTAATCTCCTGCCGAATCACTTTGCGATCCGTCGAATCGCGATTTGTTTCTCGGTTTAAGTTTACAGCCAGCAGAAATCAGAAACTGATTTCTTTGTCATTCTAACAGAAACGTAGTGTACTGCGATAACCTGGATAGCGCTCATGGAGTCCCTGAGATGGGTGCAAGCGTAATCATGATTACGCACATGGGGGTTATCGAGACGAAGGTTCCTGGAAGCTTCGTCCCGATAACGTTGCATTCAGGGTCAACAAGACGCATACTCTGTATGGACAGGGTCCTTAAGAACACTACTCTGTGAGTGTATACAAAATTCCAGGGTTCGCTAAAGTACTACTCTGACAAGATCAGTGTTCATAAGACGATAAACCTGAAATTACAGGGACCAGAATGTGACAAGTCTGAAATCACCCTGAAATCAGGGTAATTACCCTGATAAAATCAGCCCTGGCGAGAAGGTGAGTTTCACCTCTCGGGCCACTTGCAGCGGAAGATTCGCCAGCGTGGCGACAGCGAGATTGTGGGAGGGGGGAAATGTCCGCTTGCAGCGAAAGATTCGCCTATGACAGTGGTGAGGTGACTGTGTTTGGTCCTGAGTGGGAGAAGTATGCCGATGGCTACTTCAGTGACGGGTTCTATGAGATGAACGTGATAGCGATGAGCGATAAGGATGAGCCTTATGGAGACCTTGGGTATGCTGAGATGGGAGAATCGGAGAAGTTATCGACTGAGGATGATGAGAGTGAGGTCTCGGAGGATACGGCAACAAGTGTCGAGGCAACAGTGAAGCAGGAAGAGGAGATAGTGATCACGGATGTGACGAAAGTGAACGATGGAGATGGAGACGGTGTCAACACTTTTGCAGCAGCGATCGTGGTTGAAGATGAAGCAGTAAATGCGAAGTGTGTGGGAGTTGAAGCTGCGAAAGGGGACATCATGGTGAAAGGATCAAAGACGAATGCAACTGCAAAGGGGCGAGTGCTTACGAAGGAGGAACGCGTTGAAGGGTACGAGACCCGAGAGGTGTTGGGTGTAAAAATGCCGAGGAGAAGCGAGAGGCATAAGAAAATCTCTCAAGGTTTGGATGTCAAGGCGCTCAACTTCAAGACACATAAGCAGAGGTTCAAGGTGCAGGAGCTGCAGGGGAGCGTGAAGCCGACTTAGACCCTGTGAAGGCTACAAGGAGCAGGGGAGGAGTGCGAGTGGAGTTCGTGGTTGACGAACCACAGGGGAGATTGTTAGGGTTGGTTCGCCCAACCACGGACCTATGGCGAAAGTCTCTACGACGGCGGAATGACGGCGAAATGGAAGCGCGTGGATGATTCTAGGTGAAACGGTGGAAATCGGCCTACGGCGTGAGAAGGGAGAGAGAAATCGAGAAGGAATGTGTGAGAAGGTGGAAGAAGCATCGAGATTGAAGTTGGCGAGGGGAAATTGTGGTTCGAGCTCGAGGCGTGTTCGAGAAGGTTCCAGATTCGGTCTTGAGGAGTGTTCACCGAATTCGGTTCGGTTGTGTGTGCGACTCGGGGTGAAACGAGGCGCACGCGGTTACTTGGGAAACAAGTGAAGTTACGAATCGCATTTTGTGTCTTGCCTGACTATAAAACTGCTTGTACTCATTCTGGAAATCATACCAATCAGATTCTGAAAATTGCTGAAGTGTGTATTGACAACTTCAAGCAGAGCTGCGCATATCATTGGATTCGGGAGATCGTGGAGAACACGATAGGCGATAGCAAGTAGACTATTGCCGACTAAGGTGTTTACGATCCTAAGAATGGCGTAAGAGTCAAGACACACCAACGCAGCTCGGGACGCCTGTCAGAGAGTCCGAATTCGCGGAAGAGCCTCTGCGGCGGGACTATACCTGAATGGATGTCGATAAATCGGATTGGGATGAGATAAATCGATAAAAAAGTAGTCTGTGCTCTGATAACAGCGACTCACTGGGGAAGGGAATGGCCCAAACCTCTCGAGAGTTGCCTTATGAGACGAAAGGACTGAGCTGCGAAAGGCTGGCTCGCTGGCGGTGAGAGCCGAAGCGGGACAGACCAACATGGCGGCACGCACGCAATGGGTGGAAATCTGGTGGCGAGGAATAGCGAACGCTGAGTGAAGGATAATCATGGCTTGGACTCAAGCGCAGCGAACCAGACAGGCACATTTCGGATAAAAATTCGGTTCTATGATCACACGAGAGAGCGCCACATGGAAGAGCACGAGCGGGCACGTAAGTAAGGCGAGGAGGTGCAATTGCGAGACGTGACGGACGCGCGTCATGCAAAATGGGAGCTCTGCGGGCGTGAAGAAGACGGGCGATGCTCCTATTCAGGTGGAGGCGGGGCCTGAGCTAGGGCACTGGGGAGAGAGATTCGCGGGTTTGAATCCGCTTTTGTACGACGGAGGAATCTGTGCTGTGATCTCCACAAACACTCGCCATTGAGTGCTAGCATACTGTTCGAATCTACTGGTACATGGAAACTTCTAGTATTTCCTGTACTAATTATTGCAATCATACAGCCAATGCTTTCATCAAGATACCGTATTTAAGCGTCCCTTTTCATAGCTTCAATTCACCAACTTATGTAAGGATGGAATGAAGAGCCCAAAGACGTATGTACGAACCATTGCATACACAATAGCCACAATAATCGTTGAAAACAAAATCTTCCACATTCTTCGCAATATCCTAAATCCTCCCACCGACAACAGCCTACTTCTTCTTGCCAACCTTGCCCTCCTTGCGCCGAATGACCTCGTCCGCATACTTGATTCCCTTGCCCTTGTACGGCTCCGGCTCCCTCCACTTGCGCACCGCCGCTGAGAAGTCACCCACTGCCACCTTGTCCCGCCCGCTGATGGTGATGCGCGTGTTCTCCTCCACCTTCACACTCACTCCGTCGGGGACCTTCATGCGCACCTGGTTGGGGGGACAAGACAGAGGGTGTAAAAGAGGAGGTGGGGCTACAACAATTCACCCACTGCCACCTTGTCCCGCCCGCTGATGGTGATGCGCGTGTTCCCCTCCATCTTCACTGCGACACCGTCAGGGACTTTCATACAGACCTAAATTAGGGAGAACACCGGGGAGTGGAGAGAAGGTGAAGCTGTAAATAAGTCACCAGCAGAACCACCTTGTGATGGTGATGCGCGTGTTCGCCTCCACATTCACCGCCACGCCCTCTGGGACCTTCATGCGGATCCGTCACATCGGGAGAGGGAGGGAAGGAGTGGAGAGTAGAGGAGCGGAGAGGAGGTGAAGATGATGAGTGGTCGGCCGCTGGCTCATTGTTCTGCATGCTGGCAATGATGCGTGTGCTTTGCCCACCTTCAAGCTCATGCCCAGCCCAAGGGAAATTTTCATGCGGACCTGAAAGGTGGGTGGGAATAACACGAAAAGGACAGCCTGCAGCTGGTGAAACAAGTGTTCTCTAAACCTTCACACCCATTCCCTGAGGTTTGCCGTGCTATGGGGGCATTAGGAGGGTACATGGTGACAGATGTGTGTAGTTTGACCTCCCCACCACTTAGAATTGCTGTGGGAACCTTGTGGCAAAGGGCAATGCGAGGAAATGAGGCAATGGATGGACGGGACGGGAGAAGCGTCGAACTGAGGTCAATAGGGGATATATCCTTGCTATGTTCCTCCTTCGCACCACTGCAACATTCCCAAGTACCATGCATGCTTGCAATGGTGGGGTGGGACCGTGGCCAATAGGCACAGTGAAAACAGGGGTCACAAAGATAGCATGGTAGCTAATAAATTCCTTTCTTTTCCTCCGTTCAGCACTCCGCGTAGAACGTGGAACCTGTGTCGTGGCACTTTGCAACAAGCTATGAACCTTCTTGCGTTTGTACGTTTTGCAAAAAAAGTCCCCGGGCCGTGTGTGTGCACCTTTTCCTGTATGAACCTTCGTTTTCCACGCTTGCATGTGAGAATGATAAGTTGATAACGCAGCACGAGCATATGGGTGACCTGCATGCTTGTATGTAAGCCAGTCATACCAGCAGATGCCTCACCTGGTGCGAGAGGCCCAGGTTGAGAACAAGCTCTGTCAAGCTCTGTCTTTGTCAACAGCCGTGCGGTACCCCACTTAAAGCCTAGTGTAAACATCGTGTGCTGCAATTTGCACCAGTTTCACGCCGAGGTGACCTGCGGTCGACTGAAGACTGACCTAGCGCGAGAGACCCAGTTTGAGAACAAGCTCCGTCTTGTCAACGGCCGCACGGTACCTCACTTGATGCCTAGTGCAGTACATCGCGTGGTGGATTTTGCACCTGCGCGGTTTCATGCCGAGATGACTTGTGTTGTGAGTCGACTTAAGTCTCACCTGGTGCGAGAGACCTAGGTTGAGAACGAGCTCTGTCTTGTCAACGGCGGCACGGTACCTTCCACCAGCTGCACGATACCCCACTTAAAGCCCAGTTTAAACATCGTGGAGACTCACCTGGTGCGAGAGACCAAGGTTGAGAACAAGCTCCGTCTTGTCAACGGCCGCACGGTACCCCACTCCCACCAGCTGCAGCTTCTTCTCAAACCCCTTCGCCACGCCCTGCACCATGTTGTCCGTCAGCGTGCTGCAGGAAAGGCGATGAAAGGGTAAGGAGGGGGGGTAAGGATAAGGGCAGACGGGAAGTTGTGACGCGTGTGCTAAGGATAATAGCAGCAATTCTTTTCAAACCCCTTGGCCACGCCCTGCACCATGTTGTCCGTCAGCGTGCTGCAGCAGAAAGCAAGGGGTCAGGTGGGAGAATGGGGGACAAGAGGGGATGTTGTGACGCGAGTGCTAACGAGAATAGCTGCAGCTTCTTCTCTAACCCCTTGGCCACGCCCTGCACCATGTTGTACGTCAGCGTGCTGCAGCAAGGGGGGAGGTGGGGGGATCAGTTGGTGCTTGGGGAGCTGGGACGCTTGCGAGGGTGGGAGTAGAGATGTTCGGGTGGGTAGAAATGAAGGGGGAAACGGGGAGCGGGGTGCGAGAGAGGGGGGAAGTGGCGGAGGCAGAAAAAAAAGGAATACGCAGGGAATGCAGATAAGCGGGAAAAACGCAGAAGTAATGGGAAGGAAGGAAGTGAGGGATTGGGAGGAGGAAGCGAGGGAGTGGGCGGACGAAGCGAGGGGATAAATGAGAGCAAGAAGTAATGCGGAAATGTCAGGACCAGAATATGCTGCTGCTACTGCTCCATCTGCTGTTACTCCCTGCCACAGCTGTTGCTAGTGCTGCAAGAAGCAAGAGAAACACCCGCTACGTATTGAATTCAGCTCCGTGAACAAGACGCGCTGCGTCCCACAAACACCTCCGCCCGTCAAACAACACCATTGAAACGCGTCCCGCAGCTTGCCGCTTCCTACTACTGCTTCCCACGACGCCGACCGCTTCTATCGCATGGCCTCTTCGCTACCTCCCAGACCCCCAATCCTCCCAGCTGGGGCTACTCCCACGTGCAAGCATGCGGTTTTCAGCCCTAGTCCCGCCGACACGATACGAGAGCCCTGCTTCCGCCTGGCTGTGTCCCACGAGCAACCATGCGTTATTTTTCAACCCTAGCCACTTTCCGCTGACCGCCGCTGACTACCTCGGTCGCTGCCGCCTGTTCGCCACAACAGGTGCTATTGTAAGTGACGGCTTCGAGTTTACGCGGCTCCCATAGCCGTTAAACCGAAGCAGCTTCGCACGGTGACGGTGACGATGAGAATATGGCGAAGGTTGGCGGTTTCTGATGCAACAGATTGGCCGCAACCTCACTGAAAAGATCGGGAGAAGCTCAGCGAGAAGGACTCACCGGAAGAGTCCGTGCATGGCGCGAGCCTGTCGCGTCTCGAGCGCGCGGTTGACGGTGATGACGCCACCCTCCTCGCTCAGCCGCACCTCCCGCGGGTACTCCCTTGACAGCTCGCCGTTAGGGCCCTTCACCACTAACGACTGGCCGTCAAGTTTGAACGTCACGCCGGCCGGCACGGGGATGGGTTTCCGGCCGATTCGTGACTCCTTGCAGACAATGCGGCCGGCTAGCAGGCCTTGCTGGTTGAGGGTCTGGGAGGAGGCTGCCGCTGACGTGGCACGCAGTGATTGGGCCTCGCCAATGAACGAACTCCTGAGGGGACAGACGAGGCGAGACACACAGCAGGGGACGGAATAGGGATCGGACAGGAAGAAAAGGGAGGGAAGGAGGACATGGAGCGTGACGGGCGGGAACCATGAGTACAGTGAAAGAAGAAACGGAGAGAAGAGATGAAGAGTAGTGGCGGGAGAGGAGGGGCGCATTAGGGGCGAGCCCCGACAGGTCTTGGTAGAGAGAAAATGGACAAATAGAAAACAAAAACGAGCTGAACAACCGAGTTTGGCGAGGGCTGTGGATGAAATGAGACAGTCGTAAAAACCAGGGTTTTGAAAGCAAGGCGTCTAAAGCACGCTACACCGCACCCCCTCAACGCTACTCGGTCGAATCTAAATAACGGAGTTCCTAGACCTGTCCTCCTCGTTTGACGTCCGGCGAAACATGGAAAACCTAGTCAATGTCGGGTAGAGCAGACTACGAGAGTCGAGCCGCCATGGTGGCTGGAGCGTCATGCAACAGCCTAAATAGTAGCGCAATATTTTGAAAAATCGTATCGGTCGGGTTCACGAGCTCGCATATGGCGAAGATATACGACGACGGTACGTGTAGAGAGTAGCCTGCATCCACCAATGACAGCTCAGCGTTGATTCCTTGTATCATCGCGTGAAGACCTAAAATCCAAAAGAATGACGAGTCTCCACCAAAGCTGACCTCACTACTGTCAATGCAACGAGCTGGCGAAAAGCAATCCTTGATTCTGGCACGTCCTGTCTCGAATCGGCTCAGGTGGTGACTAAACCAGCCTCACGCCCCGTAAACCCGCACCTCAAGGTTACTCTGTCAATGGTGGCAGACTGTAGCACCGCGGACCCCGCCATGGCGACGCGGCTTGGCTGGCGCGGTTCAAGAGTTGTGCAAAAAAGGTGAGAGTTACGCTAAGAGGCTCTCTGGAACAACCCCTTCGGTAATTTTGAGGAAGTGGGCAGTGGATTGGAGAGCTCCTAGCGGAGAGGACGGAGAGGGAACAAAGGGAACGGGGAAGAGCGAGGGGAAGGGGAAGGGGAAGGGGAAGGGGAATGAAGGGAAGTGAGGGGGAAGAGTCGCCGCCACGGGAAAACATGGGGATAATAGGACGTTGAGGAGGGGTAATGATGGGTAAGAGGAGGCTAGGCGGGGGAAGGGGAAGGGGATGGAGAAGGGGGGATGCGGAGCGGATGCTCGCGGAAGGGGTTGTGGAATCACAAGCCATGATAGTTGCGGGGATGAGGTTCGGGATGAGAAAATGAGGACGTGGCCCACTCTTCGTGAAGCAGGCTGACGTGACAAGAAGCCTGTGGCTGCACCCTTTTTAGGGACGCGATTACAACTCCTCGGTAAAACGTGTAATCTATCCAGCAAAACAAGGGAAAGGAAAACACTTGGTAATCTAACATAGTGTCAAGTTCATCCATGTTTATATTTGTGAGGAAATTCCTTTTCTCCTTACTCCCTGTCATCCTGTAAATTACATACACGGATTGCCAGTCTTGCGAAAGACGCCAATAAACTATTTTCATGTAATTGCGCTCGACACTAGGCATTTGTGCAGCCCCCCACATTTGGCAATTTATTCGAACTTTTGCTGCAAATATTCACTGATGTCTACGCTCACATGCTGTCAATCCTTTATCATCAGTGCAATTCTTGCTCGCTCATCCAATTGCAGCCATAACAATTGGTAACACAGCCGGTTCAAATCTCCTCCGCTAGGGGGGAAGAGGGACGGTTTGGAGAGAGGGAGGGGCGGTGAACTTCCTTTACCATCAGCCCGTCGTTAGTGTCAGATGTCCACTGGTAATCCCCGATTGATCTTAGGGAAGGGTTACAGGCACGTTGGCCTGGGGGGTTATGGGCGCACTCACCCGCTACACAAACAAGCCCTTTTATCCCAGTGGTTAGTTTCTGGGATTCTGACGGTTAGCCAATGCCGCCACCCCCTCAACCTCCCATGTGGCGGCAATCGCAGCAGGGCGCGACGGGTCGGGACGCTTCACGAAGCGGGAGGGCAAATGGTTCCTGTTTCACCACCTCCTCCACTCCACCTTCTCCACTTCCACCTCCTTTACACCCTGCTGCTATCACACCCTATGTGGCTCTTGCATCAGTCACATGTGGGGAGGATCTCACCCTGTGCTGTCGCAGGTGCCTTGCTGCTAGCGTACGATATGAGAGTGACCTCATATGCCACCACCCCCGCTGCATTGTTGTTCCTCCTCCACCTCCACTCCGCCTCGCCCTTTCTGGCGCCCCCTCCCACTGACGACACCCCAAACCCATATGCTGCCTGGCGCAAGGCCGACCACGCAGGCTTGCAGGAGAGGAAACTGCGCGTTGAGGGGGAAGGGGGGAGAGGTGGGGATAAGGAGGTTTTATAACACCGGGAGAAAAAGGTGACCACGCAGGCTTAAGGGAGAGGAAACTGAGCGTTGAGGGGAAGGGGGGGAAGGATATGGGCAGGGAGGAGTGGGGAGAAGGTGGGGAAGGGAAGGGAGGGTTGGAGTGGGAATGAAAGGTGACAAAGGAAAAAAGGTGACGAAAGGCGGCAACAAGAAGGGGGGATGAGCTGATTTGAGGGATGGTTAAAGAAAGGTTTAGAAGGCAAAACGAGGAAGAGGATAAGAGAAGGGCAAGTGGTGGGTTTGTGGCAGTGAGAGGTGAAGGGTTTTTGTGGAAGGAGTGGAAGGGAGAACAATGAAGAAACGAAGGTAAGGACAAGAGAAAAAAGAAGCGAAGAGAGATGACATAGAAAAGAAGCAGCAAAGTGAAGAGCGAGAGAAAAAAGAAGTGACGAGAAGAGCAAGATAAAAAGAAGCGATGAGAAGGGCAAGAGAAAAACAAAAGCGAAGAGAAGCAAGAGAGTGGGGTTGTGCCAGTGAGAACTGGGGAAGGAAACGAGGTGACTGGGTAGGTCCTTCCGACTTGTGCTGTGAGTGATGTGATCATGGTGGTGTATGCATGGAGGAGGGGAGAAGGAGGATGAAAGGGAAACGAGCAGGCTGTGCGATTTTGGTCGGTGAGAAGCTAAATACAGAAAGTTTGAAACGGGTCACTTCATATGAATGTGCGTGCGTGCGCGCGCGCGCGCGCGTGTGTGTGTTTGTTTGTTTGTTTGTTTGTTTGTTTGTTTGTTTGTTTTTTTTTTTTTTTTTTTTTTTTTGTGAGCGCGTATATGTGTGCATGCGTGCATGCGTCCGTGTGTGTGTGTTGTTGTCCACATACACCTCAAACCGAGTCACCTTGTATATAGGTCGTCCCCACCAGTACCGACAGTTAAATGCACCATGCCACAGGGGTCCTGGGCGTTGTTGTAGAGAGGCGGCTGGGGAGATGCAAAAGTGGAAGATGGAAGCAACGACAAAATACGCACAGAGTTTTGAATTTATCCAAGGAGCGTGCAACAGCAGCAGTGAGATGCAGCTTGGCACAGGTTGAGGGGGGTGCTGGGAAGGCGATGCGAGTGAACAAGTCTATTTTTGAGTCGAATAAAAAACAGACTCATCACATCGAGATTGCAGTTTGGCACGGGTTGAGGAGGGGGCTGGGAAGGCGACACGAGCGGACAAGAGGAGGGGAGTGTTGACAAGAGAGAGGGGAGGTTGAGGGAATATAGAAGATGGCAGGGTGAGGGTGCAGTAGTGTCCACAAACCACATCAGCCTTGGCTGCACATTAGCATCAGCTCCAATGCCCCTCACATGTTCATGAGCATGCCGGCATGCAGAGCCCACCGTTGAGCGTTGCACATGTCAGAACATATATATAGCTTATGCTGTTGTGTAGGCTATAGTGGGGTATCCCATAGGGGGTACAACCCAATTAGGGTTTCCCATATGTACTCACTTCATTCATAGTTCATTCATTCTCGTTCTACTCTTCTCATGGTATCGAGCAGGTTCCCTCGTGGGAACTGTTCCTAGGGCCCACCGTTTTTTTTTTTTTCCTGCCCGGAGCGCACTCTGCCCCTACCCGAGTCGCGCTCCCCTCTCTCTTGGCCCCTAGTGGCCCCCTTTAGCCGCCCGTCACGGCCCTTAGCCGCCCGCGCGCCGCCCGTCCCGGCCCCTTAGACGCCCGCGCACCGCCCGTCCCGGCCCCTAGACGCCAGTGCGCCGCCCGGCCCGGCCCCTAGACGCCCGCGCGCCGCCCGTCCCGGCCCCTAGACGCCCGCGTGCCGCCCGTCCCGGCCCCTAGACGCCCGCGCGCCGCCAGGCCCGGCCCCTCGACGCCCGCGCGCCGCCCGTCCCGGCCCCTCGCCGCCCGTGAGCCGCCCGTCCCGGCCCCTAGACGCCCGCGCGCCGCCCGTCCCGGCCCCTAGACGCCCGCGCGCCGCCCGTCCCGGCCCCGCGACGCCCACGCGCCGCCCGTCCCGGCCCCTAGACGCCCGCGCGCCACCCGGACCGACCCCTAGACGCCCGCGCGCCGCCCGTCCCGGCCCCTCGACGCCCGCGCGCCGCCCGTCCCGGCCCCTCGACGCCCGCGCGCCGCCCGTCCCGGCCCCACGCCGCCCTACCTGCGGCCTACTCGCCGCCCTACCTGCGGCTCGCCCGCTGCCCTAACTGCGGCCTGCCCGCCGCCCTACTTGCGGCCCTACCGCCCCCCTACCTACGGCCCGACCGCCGCCCTACCTGCGGCCCAACCGCCGCCCTACCTGCGGGAGCCGCCTAGCAGCAGAACCGCCGGGAGCCGAGCCGCCCTGCCGCCGAGCCGCCCGGGAGCCGAGCCGCCCTGCCGCCGAGTCGCCCGGGAGCCGAGCCGCCCTGCCGCCGAGCCGCCCGGGAGCCGAGCCGCCCTGCCGCCGAGCCGCCCGGGCGCCGAGCCGCACTGCCGCCGAGCCGCTGAGCAGCCGAGCCGCCCTACTGCCGGGCCGCCCGACCTGCTCTGTCCGGTGAGCACAGCCCCACTGTCACTACGTGCCCTTCCCCTACTGCTTGCACTGCTCGTCTGTCGTCGTCATGGCTACCCCTAGCGTCCTCGCTTTTGACGCTGAGGGTCGAGCCATTGACTTTGAGGTCTGGGTCGACGACCTGCAGCTGTTCTTACAGTGCGATAGGGCGGACGGTCTTTCCCTCTTTGACCTCACCTCTGGCGCCTCTCCTGCCCCTGCTACTGATGCTGACCCCACTGTTCGCTCTCAGTGGGCCACCCGCGATGCTGCTGCACGTCTTGCTGTGCGTCGCCACCTGCCTACCACTGAGCGCGCGCACTTTAGTCAGTACAAGAGTGCTCAGACCTTGTACGACGCTGTAGTTGCGCGCTACTCTTCCCCTGCCACTGCTGCCCTGAGCCGCCTCATGCTACCGTACCTCTTTCCTGACCTTGCTGCCTTTCCCACTGTCGCTGACCTCATTACGCACCTCCGCACTAGTGACACTCGCTACCGCGCCGCCCTTCCTGCTGAGTTCTGCGCCAAGAACCCCCCCCCCATGTACATCACTCTCTATTACATCGTCACACGCCTCCCTGACTCCCTTCGCGTAGTCAGGGACCACTACCTCTCGGTCTGTCCCACCACTCTCACTGTCGACCTCCTCGAGAAGTCCCTCCTGGCGGCGGAGAAGAGCATCGTCGCTGTAGGAGCCTCTCGTGGTGACCCTCGCACCCCCATCTTTGAGGGGTGTTCTCCTTCCCCCCTGCTGCCCTCTGTTGCCTCTGCTGCTGCTGCCGACCTGCTTGGTCTTGAGTCGGTCTGCGCGGCGTCTGCCCCTAGCGGGAGACGCCGCCCTGGCAGGGGCAAGGGGGGCAAGGGCGCGGGTGGAGCTGGCGCGGGCGGTGGAGGAGGCGGTGGAGGCGGAGGAGGGAGTGGGGGTGGCGGTGGGAGTGGTGGCGGGGGCGGTGGTGGAGGT